GGCACAGCCCAGGAGAAGGGGAATGTCTTTGCACATGGACTGGGAAGGGTGTGGCTGGCCGGTCATGTCAATGCAAATGGAAGGCGGAGGGTGATGGTGCAGGATGGAGGGTAGAAGCAGATGTGGGGGCCCTGAGGGTTCTTGTTGGGACCCTCTGGAGGACTCGTGGACTTCTGACCACACCCGCGAGCCTGGAGTGAGCTGTGGTGGTTGTGTAAGTGACCGGGTCGGCCAACCTGCAGTCTTCAAATATGTGTGTCCGTGTCCACATCCAAATGACGGGCGGGGTCTGTGCCCCTTCCTTCCTTGGGTCCGCTCGGAGCCCCAGTTCTGTCCTGCGGGGGACACCCGTTCCTTTATTCCATCTTGAGATGGGCACAGGAGCCCCCCAGTGCCTGCCCTTAGCAATGCTCTGTAGCTGGGGTTTTGAGACAGATCTCACTTGGCCACAGCCCTGCAGGACTGAGGCATTCTGGGAGGTTTGGGACAGCAGCACGGACTCCTCAGCCCCCAGCGTGGCATGTGGTGCCTCTTCTCCTGCCCCCAGTGCTGGGCAGGTGCAGGGCAGACCCAGAGGCACACGGGCGGGCTGTTCCCAGCACAGGCATGGGGAAGGGGCACAGCCCCCCTGGATGCTGGGCTGGCCTCGAACCTCTGGCTTCTCCTCCCCTTTGCCCAGCCCATGGTGTTTCCTTGGTGACTCACGTTTGCATCAGTGACTCCTGGGAAGGGGTCAGCCCCCGCCTCCCTGCACAATGACAGCAGGTCCCAGCTTGCCAGCAGAGGCCAAGCCTGATGGTGACATGAGTGGCCCACTGTGACAGTGGGGAAGCATCCTTCTCTCTTTCCACGTCAGAAACTGAGGCCAGGCAAGGGCAGGTCCACAGGATTTGGTGTCTAGCCTCAGAGCCACATCCCTCATCACTGAACTCTGCTACTTCTGTAAATCAGGAGCAAGGCATCCAGTTACCACTGGGTTCTGTGGGAAGGCCAAATAGGGTGGAAAACTTCATTTTAATGGAGTGAAGAGAGAACTTAGTAGAGCTGCTGTAATAATGATAAGGATTAGGATGGGGTGATGATGATGGTGGTGATGCTGGTGATGATGGTGATGGTGATCATGGTGATGATGATGTTGGTGATGATGGTGATGATGATGGTGTTGACCATGATAGTGTTAATGGTGGTGATGAAGGTGGTGGTGATGATGATGAAGGTGATGGTGATGATGGTGATGACCATGATGGTGGTGATGGTGGTGATGGTGGTGATGATGATGGTGATGGTGATGATGATGGTGATGACCATGATGGTATTGATGGTGGTGATGAAGGTGGTGGTGATGATGGTGATGACCATGATGATGGTGATGGTGATTGTGGTGATGATGATGTTGGTGATGATGGTGATGATGATGGTGTTGACCATGATGGTGTTAATGGTGGTGATGAAGGTGGTGGTGATGATGATGGTGGTGGTGATGATGATGAAGGTGATGGTGATGATGGTGATGACCATGATGGTGGTGATGGTGGTGATGAAGGTGGTGGTGGTGGTGATAATGGTGATGACCATGATGGTGGTAATGGTGGCAATGATGTGTCCCTCAGTACCTTTTCTCTGATCTTTGGGGCCATATCTGAGAGCAGAAGTGTGACTGTCCAGGAGCCAGAGGACAGGAAAGACCTGTGCAGTGGGAGGTTTTCATAAAGCAGGTTTTTCTAAGGGTCTCTTTTCTCTAATAAGATAATTGAGGTGGCAGAAGGAAATCTATTGTTTTCAATGTTCTTACTGAGCCAGAATAAAAACTTGGTAAATCTTATGTCAGTCTACATTCTTCCCTCTTTTGTTTAAATTTTATTGGTCCATGAAATCCCAAAGTTTGGGAACCACTGGCTAACTGACCTAGCCTAGAAATGGATCCCTTTCTGAAACACACACACACACACACACACACACACATTCGCTGCATGCTCTCTCTGCTGCTGGAATCCACAACCTCTGACTTCAGCCAGAGGCCAGCACCAATCATCTCTCAGTGCCCAACACTTCCCTAGACAACCAGCAGAGAGCTGCCTACATAAGGCTTAAGCAAGCGAGGTAATTAAGAGTAATAATAGCAGCTTACAGCCAGTCCCCAGTAGCTTTGTGAGCTACTCTGCGTAACACAATGAGGCTCAAATCCTACATATCCCTTTAGGGCCTGGAGCATATGGGGCCCCCACACAGATGTCACAGGGCTGAGCTGGCCAGATGCGTTGCCTGGCCCATGTCCTTCCTCCATACAATCATCTGACTGCTGACGCCCTTAGCCCAGACCACAGAAGGTCCACATCCTCAGGCTCTGTCTTCACCCCATCCGCAGGATTCTGAGCTCCAGATTTCAGAGCTAAGGCCCCACCCCCTATGAGTCTCCTAGTGCCTGCATGTGGGGCACAGGACCTGTCTCCCCTGTGGGCTTGATAAATGACTCGAATTGCACATATGCATGCTATAGAAGCCGGGAAGGAGGGCAGGAGGATGCAAAACATCTGGGCACATTTCGTCCAGATGCCAAACACAGAAGAGGTACATGCAGCTTGGCTGGACCAGTGCCCAGCCCAGCGATGGCCCCATGTACTCAGGCTACTCCAATGGTGTATGGTGTGTTTTCTTCGCTAATTATACAGTAGGTCACTTAGATTAGGTGGACAAGCACTTGCACTGTGCATCTACTAGGGGTTAGGCATGGCGGGTGCGGTGTGATAGAGGCCAGCCCCCACCCTTGGGCACAGTAGAGAACACGGGGACTTGGACCTCCTCCAGGGATCAGTTATTGTGGTCTAGTGGTCTGAGCCTGGGCCTGGAGCCCATCTTCCAGCTTGGGTACTCATCCTGACCCTGCCATTTAGTGAATGTGTAACTTTGGGGGTGCCTGGGTGGCTCAGATGGTTGGGCGTCTGCCTTCGGCTCAGGTCATGATCCCAGGGACCTGGGATCGAGCCCCACATCGGGCTCCCTGCTCGGTGCAGAGCCTGCTTCTCCCTCTCCTGCTGCCATTCCCTCCGCTTGTGCTCTCTAGCTCTGTCTATCTCTCTGTCAAATAAATTTAAAAAAAAAAAACTTTAAAAAAAAAAAAAAGTGAATGTGTAACTTTGTCTTGACAGCCTTACCATCTCCAGCCATAAAGTGGACACAGTCCCACCTCCCTTGCTGGGCTGGCGTGACCAGTGAGTGGCTGAGCCCAGATGACCAGACCATAGTACAGGGGAAGGACTCCATAAATGTTAGTGATGATGCAGCAGAGACACATGGAGCACAGAGAGAGAGGGGCCAGCTCCCATGGGGGGAAGCCCCAAAGTCCTGAGCAGGATTGGAAAGGTGGCTGGATGTGGTTGAGCCTGCAAAGCAGTGCACACCCCCTCAGTGGGGGTCATGAGGGTCCAGGAAGGGAATACAGGAACGGCACTTGGAACAGGGCCTGGTATACAGTAAGTGCTCAATTAGTGTTTGCGATGACAGTGGTGATGACGATGTTGCTGTTCATGGAATTGTACATTTTGTGTTGTTGGGGCGTCGGGTTAGGGATGGGAAAGGCGTGGGGAGGCAGGTGGGAGTCAAGTACCAGAGGACCCGCCTGCACATCAGTTAATCCAGTGTTAACTGCTGTACCAGTGAGTCCTTCGAGTGTGGCCTGATGAATAGAAGTCTAATTGTTGCTCACTTCAACAGTTCAAGATATGGAGACCTGGGCATCTTGTGGGAACCCTAGAGGGTTCCAGCATCCTGTAGACCCCAGGGGTCCTAGCTCTGAGCTGGGCAAAGCCGCAAGAGAGGGTAGGGTAGCACACTGGCTTCCATAGATGCCAAGCTTGGAAGAGCCCCCTCCATCATCCTCGCAATGGAATGTTCCATTCCATTGCTCACATTCCATTGGTGGGAAGTGCTCATGTGGCCCTTCCAGGGTGCAAGGGAAGCTGGGAAATGTAGTCCTGGGCTGGACACCCACTCCTCCCATCCCCCAAAGGCAACTCCATACTGTAGAGAAGGTGAGCATGCATTTTTGCTGAACTAGCTGCCTCCAGGCGTAAAAGGAGCCGAGGAGGACTATGCTGACCTTCCTCAGTATGCTCTGCTCACGTGCACTCACTTTTGAACTGGAAATGTGCTTTGGGGGTTTGAATACAAGCACGTTCACCTGGGAATGTGGATTGACCACAGAGAGGGTTACAGAAGTTACATGAGATTTTGAGCCATTTTCTGGAAGCCAATCACATAATTCCTCTGTGTTTTTTCCAGAGTTTAGGAAGGAGATTGTCCGGGAGATTTTATTTGCAGGGGGCAATATCTGAACAGTAAATCGCAGCCGAATTTCTTGTATTCGTGTGGTGGTGGTTTTCTCCCTCCGGCCCTGAGCAATCTGCTAAATCTAATTGCATCGCTCATATCCTGTCCCGTGAAATTTACATCCAAACCTGCTGAGTAAGAGAAGCAGGCGGAGGACTTAATTAGGAACGTGAATCACATTTGGGGTTTTGTGTGTTTGTTTGTTTTTTAGGAAAGAGCAACTATCACCAGAAAAGTAACAATCAGCATTCTTCTCCCAAAAGGCGGTCATCTTCAGATTTGCTGGAAGGCCCAGCAGCACTTGAGAATACCGTTCTGGAGGGCTCCCTGGGCCAAAGGCGCGCTGCTATTCTGACTTAAACCACAGGGCCATCTTCTTTGCAGAGAGTCTCCTCCTGCTCCCTCCTCGAGCCCAGGACCCAGGATTCTGCCTCCGTTTTGGAATGGAGCTCCTGACTCTTCAGAAGTCGGCCGTGGGGCTCATATGCGTTCCTCAGATTTTGCAAAGTCAGCTCCCAGAATGAGACCTTCTCTTCCTCCCAGATCTTTCCCCAGGAGAGCGGGTCTGGCGCTTCGTAGGTCAGATAAATGAGAGGCCTGGCCGGCCTTGCTTGGTTTCTGCATTCGGAGTCTGTGACTTTTCTAAACAGTGTTTCTCTTCCCTCTCTGTACAGAAACTCGTGCAGACCGCAGCAAGAAGCTGTTCAGGCACTACACGGTCGGCTCATATGACAGTTTCGACGCTACCAGGTAAGATTCGGCTCTTTCTCTGCCAGGCCCCCTCTGGTCAAAGATGCTCTGTGTGCTGCGGAAGCGCTGGACCCACTTGCATGCAGCCCTCGGATCCCCTTGGCTTCTTCCCTCGGTGTGTCCGCTGTGACCTCCTGCACGTGGGCTGCATTATGGAAGCCACCCTCTTCCAGGGAACTGGCCCAAGATGCGGTCTCTGCTGCCCGAGGTTTGGGGTCGGGCTGGAGCGCACCTGTGGGGTGTCCAGGAGGAGGAAGACCGGGCATTGTGGGGGAGGGGGGAGCAGCATGGAAGCCAGAGATGACGGCAGCTGGCCACGGGAATCTTCAGGATGCCGTAGCTCTGGGGTTCCGTCTCATCTGCATCTTCCCTCTTCCTTCTGCCTTCGAGTTAAAGTCTTTGTACGAGAAAGGCTCATCCCCCTCGAAAGGCGTGGCACCGGGCAGGCAGAGCCTTTGAGCACGGCAGGTTTGCTTTCTGGCTCCTGTTCAAAAGGGGGGTTGTTGGGTGTGTGGGGAGAGCCATGGAGCTTTGGTGATGCGACATGGGGCACGGGTTCCAGCTTCCCCGCAGACACTACACGGGCACGAGATGTCCTCGGGTCTCTGGCACCTCCTCCTTGTAACCCCGCGGCAGGCCGAAGCAGGCTGGGGTCCTGCCGGCCGAGGGGACCAACAGCTCGGAAACGAGCTGCATTTCTGGCCAGTGTCCCTGCAGCTACTTCTGCTTCTCCGGCTCTTCCTGTCCCCATGCGCCGAGTTTCTCTACCCCTCGTTTCTGTCACAAACGCAAGTCTCCCTACATCAGGGGCCGGAAGGGTGTGGAGAAAGAACCTTAGTGGACGGTGGCCTCAATGGGAGTTAGCATGTGACGCAGAGAAAGGGAGGAGATGCAGGCCATGGGACCCGCCGGGACAGGAAGGTCCTGCTCCTCGCCCTGCTGGCCGGCCGGCCCTGGGGCTCTTCCTGAGAAACCCACCAAACCACGTCCTCCATTAGGGCCAGGCTGGGAAGGGGTCTGGACACCCTGCCCTGGGCTCTGCCCCACCACCCCCGGCCCCCGGGCAGGTCTGTGATAAGCAGTGCAGACTGTGCTCAGCACACTCAGCTGCCTGTGGGGGTCCAACCTGCTTTCCTTCGTCTCTGTGCTTCTCCTGAGTTAAAATTTGCATCACCTAGCTACCATTTCCAAGTGCGCGGTGGTGGCTTTGGTACGTTCACAATATTGTGCGGCCAGCACCCTGTCTAGTTCTAGAACGTTTCCTTCCTCCGAAAGGGAGCTCCTAGCGATTAAGCAGTCAATCCCGATTCTCCCTGCCCCCAGCCCCAGCTCGCACCAACCGGCTCTCTGCATGTTTCATGGAAACGGAGTCCTACAACACGTGATCCTTCATGTGTAGCTTCTTTACCTAGAATAATGTCTGTAAGGTTCATCCATTTTTTAGCAGGATCAGTACATCTTTTCTAAACCTTTTATTGTAGTAAAATTTACTATCTCCACCATTTTTAGGTGCACAGCTCAGTGGCATTAGGTACGTTCATGTTGCTCTGTGGCCATCCCCACATCCATCTCCAGAACTTTCCATCTTCCCAGACTGAATCTCTGTCCTATGAAACACTCACCCCCATCCCTCCATGGCCCCCACTGGCCACTCTCTGTCCCCCTAAGACACTGACCCCCATCTCTCCCGTGGCCCCAGCACCCACCGTCCACTCTTTCTCTGAATCTGGTGACTCCAGGGACCTCATAGAAGTGAATTATACAGTATTGGTGCTTTTTGTGACTGGCATATCTCAGCATAGTGTCCTCCAGGTCCCTCCGTGTTGTAGCAGGTGTCAGAATGTCCTGCCTTGTTAAGGCAGAAGAATATTCCATCATCTATGTAAGCCATATTTTGCTTGCCGTTCCTCTGTGGATGACACCTGGGTTGCTTCCATCTTTTGGCTCTTGCAAATGGTGCTGCTGTGGACGTTCTCACCCAAGTATTGGTTTGCACACCTGTTTCCAGTTCTTTGGGGTGTATATCTAGCAGTGGAATTGCTGATAGGACCTGGTGTTAGTGCTGACCTGTCCCAACTACCTGTCTGTCATAAACAAGAGGTGTTAGGACAGGAATCCCACACCCAGCAGAGGACCTGGGTCGTCCCCTCCTAAGGGGCCTGGCCGACTTTCCAGATCTTGCTAACATTGCCCACTTTTTGACCTTGAATGCTCAAGTCACGATCCTGGCCTGGCCACCAACGCAGCCCAGAGAGAGACTGCTCAGGGTCTGGTGGCTTCCAGGGAGCCACGCCTGACCCTGGCTTCTCCTGATGAGTCTCTCTTTGGGTCAGATGAATTGTTTCTGCAGCAGCAAGAGGCTGCCTGTCAAAGTGGACCCTGCACACGTGGTCACAGCCAGTGTGCCTGTCATGCTTTGCTTCCATTCTAAGAAGGAGGGTGCCTGAGGCTCCGAGAATGCCCAGAGCTGTCGCCATGGTTACGTGGAGGGCCATCCAGCCTGGGAGGGGGGCTTCTGGGGAAGAGCCCGTGAGAGCCACGGCTCGTCCGCAGGCTGTGGTTTTGCAAAACTCTCTCCCCCCAAGGCCAGTTGCTGGCAGAGAGCCACCAGCGGGCTGCCCTGGGTGCATACGTGTGCATGAAGAGGGGTGTGCGCAAACTCTCAGCGTTTGAACCAGGCGGCTTCCCCACAGAGGAGCTGTTGAAGGACCTGAGTTGACTGAGCCAGGGAAAGAGAAGACCACGGGGCCAGGCTGGCTAGGTTGCATTTCATGTGGCTGACAGCAGGACCTGAACGAACCGGGGACACACGCTGCAGCTTGGCCCACAGAAGGCATGCGGAGACATCATCACTGTTCAGAGATAGAACAGAGCTGTCTCAGGAGGTGATGAGCTCCCCGTCATTGCAGGGAGTCAAGCAGTTTGCGCATTCTCTTTCCAGAATGTCTTAGAAAGTTGGACCAGGTGACCTGGGAGATCCCTGCCGGCTCTGCCCTCCCTGTGTTTTGGTGCCCAGATGAAGACTTTGATTTCATAGGTTACTGACCACTGGCTTGGTGCCAGGGCCTGGAACCATTGAGAAGAGGGACATCCAGCCACACCCGGGTCAACAGGTGGCTTCTAAACAAATGATAAAGGCTCTGGGCTTGACCGCGGTTCAGGAGTCAACCCCCACCTTCCCAGGGTGGGGGAGTCAGATGCGCTGTGGGCTCACGTTGCCCAGAAAGAGATGTGAGTGATCATAGCGACTTTTATGAGCCCCTTGCCACGTACCAGCGGCACCTCGCCTTGATCGCGGCTGCTGCCTGCCCACCCTCCAGTGACCTTGGAAGTCAGTGTCATTACCCACTTCACAGGAGAACACTGTAGTGGAAGGAGGAAGGTGACATTAAGGACCTGGCCTCAGCCACCCAGTCACCTGGAATACGGGGCCCGTGCCCGCAGCTCCCCCGTCCCGCGGTGAAGATGTTACTGCCCGAGGCTGACCATGGAACTGGCCTGGGATTGGGGGAAATTGGCAGAGACTGAACCGTCACTTGGTGGAGTGTGTCGGGCGGACGGAATGAGGATATTACCTGGGTTATGGGGTCTGGGCTTTTCCACACAAGGTGCAGGGGTCGGCCTGGGGCAGCCCCTGCCTCCCAGAACTGACCTCTTCCAGACCGCGCACTGGGCAGGGGCGAGTGAGCTTGTGGCGCTCACCGGCCATCACAACCCAGCGGCTGGCCTGTGTGGCTCTTGAGTGGGTGTCGGGGTGAGGCTGGGCCCTGGCTGAGGGCCGCACATGCTACTGTATGGACCAGCCAGCGGATCATTAGCCCATTTCGGAATTCCTGTCAGACCCGGCCTAGTGAGCCACAGAGATCTGGGATGGCGCGCCAGCAGGCGGGCCAATTACCCGCTGTAGGCGGCAGGGCGACGGTCTGGCCAGGCAGCTCACAGCTGAGGCCGCCCCATTGCAGATGCAAATGTAATTAAAGAACATGCAGTAGGTAGCGAGACTCAATGTAGACAGTTTCTGAATCAGTCAGGAGGCGGTTCTCCCCTTCCCATCCCCTCTTGTGTCAAAAGCTTTGCTCGGGGACGCAGAGCTCAAGACCAGTCTGACAAAAACACACCTGTTGATTGTTGAATGTGTCCAGTGACTCTAGCCCTCCACCCACCCAGCATGCACACCACAGAAGGGTCTAGAAATGTGGGCACATGGTCAAGATCAGAAAGCAGAGACCCTGGGGCCATTTCTACACAGGACCTTACAGATATTTCAATGTTTTTTTTTTTTTAAGATTTTATTTATTTATTTGACAGAGAGAGACACAGCGAGAGAGGAAACACAAGCAGGGGGAGTGGGAGAGGGAGAAACAGGCTTCCCACGGAGCAGGGAGCCCAATGCAGGGCTCAATCCCAGGACCCTGGGATCATGACCTGAGCCAAAGGCAGACGCTTAACCAACTGAGCCACCCAGGTGCCCCTTCAATGTTGTTTTTAAAACACTTCTTAACACAGGGTATGGGAGTCTCAAGTTCCCACGAGTTTTAAGTCAGATCTCTACCCTCATTAGCATGGGGCATGCAGGAGAAGTCTACCTGGGAGAGGAAGGGGAGACCTCAGGCTCTCACTCTAGGCTGAATACGCCCCATCCATCTATACACCCATCCATCCAACTATCCAATTACCTGTCCACTCGTCCATCAACCAGCCATTCAGCTGTCTACCAACTCATCCAACCATCCATCCATCTACCCATCCACCCATCCATCTACCATCCACCCATCCACTCCTCTTATCTGTCTATCCATCTATTTAACCAATATTCATCAAAACCCGAATATTCAGGGAGCTACGGATGTGGAGGTAAACAAGACAAGCACAGTCTCTGACCTCATGTAGATTAAAACCTAAATAGTGAAAATAGCAAAGTTTATAAATAAATAAACTGGAGAATCCCACTTAGTGGTTAATGCTATGGAGCAAATCAGTAGAACAACCATACAGTCTCT